ATCTGAACCAATGGCTCGGTGGCACCCCTGAAAAGGACATCAAGGCTCTCTTTTCCACTTCCACCAAGTACAGCCATGTGATGTGAGTATCAGTCACATGGAGGCTGGGCTTAAAAGCCTGAATTTTGCCTGAAACTCTCAGACTGAAGAAGTCTCTTGGAGGAGAGACGAAATGTTTCATTAGAGAAGAACCCGTCCAGAAGACCTGTACTATTTATTTCCTTTTGATTTTTTACCTGGATTACTGAGATGCATCAGGACATTATTCAAAATAGTGACTTTTGCACTTATTACGAGTTTTTACACTTTCCTTTTAATATTAGTGTACTTTTCTGGTTTTAGTATTAGTACCTATTTTTTAATTAATATCTTGCTGATGCTGTTGTCTGTGTGTGACATAACTGCTGCTGGGAACCTGTAGTTTTCTGGAAAGGATCAATAAAGTATTCATTCCTCCATAATAAAGAAGCAGACACATTTATTGACTAATTCACTTGTTTTCTTACTAGTTCATACAGTTCAGTAGCAATTTAAGTAACAAACATTCACTCTCTGTCTGGCGTCTGCAGAGGTAAACAAATAGCATTTCTAAACATGCACTTCTAAAGATATGAAATGCAGCACCTAAAAGACACAGCAAAGATTACAACTGACTGTTTTGCACAGTATGTGCTTGTGTGTGAAGAGTATTTAGTATTAGTATCTCAGACTTTCTTGCATATGTGTTGTTTGTACAGCTGTTGATGAAGATACTTCTATTAATTGTTTGCTAGTTTGCAAGTACAGTTACTGTTTGTGTCCTCAGCTTGGTTCTGCTTTCTCAAACTTRGTCAAAAATAGAAACATAGGACATATCTAATTTCAGTATTTAAAATGTCTCTCATGTCATTATTCAAACATAAACAGCTACATAGCTTTGCATGTGATGGTTTTTTTTCATTAATTTCCCAGTCGTGTGACAAACCTACCCGCTGTATCAGCTTGTGGCAGCTGTTACATTTGGATTTATGTAAACCTTCACCCTTCAAGTTTTTCATTAAATGAGGATGAGGAGTTTCACCTTGTCTTAATGCTTTCCACTGCAGTGCTATTAAACAGAGCCGGTTGTCCACTCCCTGTGCATTTATCCTTATTGAGACAGTGAGATTTAAAGTAATGGAGAGGCAGCGGAACGGTCTAAAAGGGATTTTGAACATCACAACCGGGAATCTGCATTCAAGACAAGCCGAGCCGCAGATCAGTCATGGCTTTGTTTTTACATTAACCATAAATCACAACCGACAGTTCGCTGTGATACCGTCTGCACAGACAACTCTTCCCCTCTCTTCTCTGCTGATTGGAACCACACAAAGAAAGTTGAATCAATTAAATGTGGTTAGAGTAACTCAAAATGTGACAGAGAGCCAAAACATATCATATTGTTTAGTTTTTAATGATACAGTTTCTCTCTAATTTACTTTTTTCTTTCAATATTTGCTCGTCAGACAACAGGAGTGGAGCTGCTGATGAAGTCTGTTACCATYCCAGAGACTAATGACACAGTGGTAAGCTATTCAAAGTTTTGTACTTCTTTGAAATTTGCAAGTACATTTTGAATCATCACAGAGGTACAGTACTTAAATGTGTTTGTTATTAATGTAAATATATGCATATTCAAAATGTATACCTTGGTGATAACAAAACCCTCTGCCATGTTTAAAACCAGTTGTCACAAACAGTGGCTGTGATTGCTGCTTTGCGTGGTACATTGAACAATGTCCACAAATACCAACAGGTGCTATGATCTAACCTTAATTGAYTCAATAACTGACTCTGCTTAACATCCCTGATGAAGCATATTTTTGCTGGAACATGTAGGAAAAGACTAGAACTCAAAAATCTGACTTCCATCTACAAATGCAATGCACCATATGTCACACATCAAAACAAACACACTACTTTTGGACCAAAGACTGATTAGGTGAAGACAAGATCAATATCCAGACCTTATAATGAATTGCAGAAGAATATCTGGTGATTAGTTATTGAGAGGAAGTGTATTGACATCCCAGAAATAAAGCTTGTACATGTAGAGGAGATGTGCCTAACTCATCTAAAGATGTTCATCTGCAGAACGAGATACAGAAAAAGACGAGTTTTTATGTCGTTTGAATGTGTTTCACACTATTGAGAGAGCAGCCCCTGTTTAAGCCTTCTTTCATCCTGGGACCATTGACAGAAACCCATTGAGCTGCTGCTTGTGCCTCCGTCCTGCTTACACTTACTCACCAACTCAGCTCTGTGACTACTGCTCTAATGAGCTCAGCAGTGGAGTCAGTCAACCCCCAAGGTAGTTGTGGCTACAGTGTAGCTTTCCACTATCAGTGTGTATGAATGGGTGAATAGCTGAAGCACTGTGGTCCTTTGACCTAATAAAATGCAGTGCTGGGGTCGGATTTATAAAACTTGCGTGCGCACAAAACGAGCCCAGAAACTTGCGTACGCCACTTTTCAAGCCAAGGTTGTGATTTATGAAATCCAAACTTGACGTAAAATGTGCGGTGCCTCACGCCAGCTCTGACCCATGCGTACGCTCATTTTGGAGACGTGAAACTGCGACACAGATGATGAAGTGAAGAATTAWAGCCACACTGTGTAATGATCACTGTCAGATATTTAATTTGTCTTCATAATCAGACTTAGATTTTTATTCAACTTTATCATCAGATTTCTTAACAGTAATATTTATGCTTCAGCTGCTGAGCCATAAGGATCTTTGAAATAAAAAAAAAAATCTTAAATAAAAGTTCACACAACTCTTTAATTTCTTTACTCCTCTTCAGACGACCCTGACCCACAGATCCCTCCCCGACAAGACTCATTTCAACAGCACAACATCATGCTTTGGGTAAGCGCAGGGCGCGCCCACCCTCACCATTGTGGATGTTATTAAACTTCAATTTTTAAAGTCCGTATTTGTCACGCACGGGGGGAGGGGGGGTTGCGCTGTGTGGATGTGTGTGCGTGTGTGTGTGTGTTGTGGGGGGGGGGGTGGTCTGCCGAAAATAACAGAGGAGGGGGAGGACGGGGAGACGCGTGGTGAAATTATTTCTAAGTTTATCTGACTTATTTAATTTTATTTATTGTTTTTATCGTCCTGCAGGCTCTGAGAGAAAATTAATTTGGAGCTGAGTTTTTGATAAAAATCATTAATTACTCTAAACGTCTGTAAACCTGCAAAATCAGGGAAAATCTGTTAATTACAGACATTCTGTTCACATGAGCAGTTGTCAGGCAGCACCTGTCATCCTCCAGACGCACGACGCAGCGTGACATTGATCAGCTGACTGATTTAAATACATCTTAACATTSAGGAGGTACTTTGCATTGACTGTTTATGGTTGAGTGTGGGCGTGTAGAGGGTAGAACCTGAGGCGGGACCTCGTGCTCAAACTCTGACGTGAAGCTGTGATCTAAAAATGAAAGGTGCGCAGAAACGTGTGTACGCACGGTTTTATAAATCTGATTTTTTTTTGCCGTACGCCATTTTTGCCTTTTAGCCGAACGTTCGCTTTTAGTATGGTTTCAACGCAATCCYTAAAAAATCTGACCCCAGGTCTTTTACCATTTAGATTAACTTCACAACTTGTGTTCTGCCTGACCATTGGGAAAATGTCTCAGACACAGACAGAAAATTAACTAGGTAAAGCTTTAATTATGCCCCCATTTGATTTGATACTCTGTTGTTAACACAGTTGCCTTGCTTTTTTTGTCTTTTTTTTTTCAGGAACTCTACATTTTAGATACTCCAGGAAAGGCAACGTTAGTGGATGGCTGTGAGAAAATGGTTAGATTGCTCTTTTATATTTATTTTTTTAATTTGCATTAGATTAATAAAAAAATAATAATTCCCACCCAAAGTTGCACAACTCCTCGAGATGTGAGAGCTTTAGTATTATTTTTTTAGTCAAAACTGTAGATAAAATTAAGCTAATCTGATACCAGGCATTTTTGACATCTTTACTATTTTCTTCCCATTTCTAAATCTAATTGCCACTCATCAATATCTCGTCTGCAGTGGGGTGAACCTTCCTTGCTGTGTCTGGTGTTTGATTTGACCAATGAGAAGTCTTTTGCCAACTGCAGTCGTTGGATGGAAAGAGTTCATGGACACTGCCAAGGTCTCCATGTTCCAGGTAAAATCCCTAAAGGAGAAAGAAGAAATTAAATACCAACGTCCAAAAACAAAGAAAAAAAATGAGCTAAATTACAGTTTAAAAAACAACAAAAATCCCTGAACAGATCCCAAGTCCATCACAGAGCCATATCAAGACAGATGAGACAAACAACCATCCATGCTCTCAATCACACCTGTAGCGAAGTGCCAGGAGAAAACCCAAGCACGTACAAGTAGAGCATGCAAACTCGACACAGAAAAACTTCATGTAAAGCTTTATATGGAAGCTATTTATTTATAAGGGGGGTGGTATGTAATTTCCAGGCTCATAGTTAAATTCTATACAACAATCAAATGTCATTGTTGCCTTCAGTTGAGAAAATTCTGTATCAAAAATAAATTTGACTTTGCATCATAGCCCGTGCAAACCACTTGGTCTGTTTCTGACACCCCCAATGCAGCGCGACTTCACAACAGCACTTTGGGGGAGGGGTGCTCTGTGGGGAGAGCTCGGCTGCAAACTGAGCTCCAGGGAGGAGCTTTGTGTGCATAGGCGGTGCTTTGCACCAGCAAGTGTTTAGGCTGCTCCACAGGAAAGGATTTTTCAAACATGAGTCAAAAGCCACACTCTGGTTATGTTTTTGATGAAGGAACAACATTGTAATGCAATACAGTTTAAAGAACAAAACAGGGTTCCTGCGGATCCTTAAAAAGTCTTAAAAGGCCTTGAATTCATCAATCCAAAAATAAGGCCTTAATTAGCCTTAAAATGTTTTAAATCAATCTTTCAGAAGTCTTAAAAATGTTGACACGTTGTAAATAGGATGACTGTAATTCATATGAAATATTAAAATAATTGGTAACTTTTTTAAATATTCAAATTTAAACATTCCCTTTTGACATCACTTCCTGTTATTTCACAAGCAAATATCTCAACAAATGTCCATCTGAGCAATGTGAAATTTGTTTTGTAATATGTTGATAATGTTGGATTTCCAAAAACGCATTCATATTTCTTACAACATTTCACTTCACAGGCACTTTAAGTTTTCATATGCAGCAAGCTAGGGTTGAGAACCCACTGTGGGTCTTAAAGCTCCAAGTTCTGGGTCGTTAGAGKATTTTCAGGAATTAAATTAAGTTTAAAACTGACTGCTAAGAAGGTTTTTTTTTTTAACTAAATTTGACAAAATAGCAGTTAGATATGGAGTTTCTGCCACAGTTTGACTTATTTCATTTGTGTTTATTGTGAAATTGGTTTTAAATTTGATTTCACTTGGCATTAAAAAGTCTTAAAAAGTCTTAAATTTAACTTTCCTTAAATTGTAGGAACCATGAAAAAAGTCAATTTTGCATGAAATAATTTGACTTGTTTGTGGCCTTTGATTATGTGATCAGTATGTTTCAGTGAAAGTGTATACTTTCTATCACGTTGAGCAGCTTGTGCAACATTTTGTTCCCATTGCCAGCTTTGACGTTGATCCAAGTATTGCTGAAAAAAATGACACTTTCCAGTACAAATTTGCAGAAGATACTGAACATTATGTTCATATTTATGCAGTCTTTCACCACCTTCGTCTTTTATTCTTGGATGCAAATAGTCTTCAGCAATTTTTTTCCTGATCCTCCTTAAATCTACAATTATATACTTTTGTCTTGTTCATTTTCAAGAGGAGGCTATCAATCCCACACCATCCTACACAGCCTTGTAACAGTTCCCTGTACTCAGCCGCCTGTCCAACACCGGCACACCTCTTCACTGTGGAGTTGTTCAGATATTTCTGTAGCTGCTATGACTCCAAGTGTGAACAATTGAGTTGCATGTAGAGATGGAAACAATGTGTTTTGTTTTTTTGACATTTGTGTTCAGGTTGCCATGTGTTTGTTTTCTAGGTGTGCTTGTAGGTAACAAGTCAGATCTGTCTGCTAGAAGAGAAGTACAGACATCCGTGGCCCAAGAATGGGCTCAGAGCCAGGAACTGGAGTATCATGAAACATCTGCTGTGAGTGGCGCTGAAAATACACAAAATACTTTGTGCTGTCAATATTGTGCATTTTAATAGTTCCCACATTTTATTGTTGAGCTCTTAATGACCATTAAATCTGCATTTGGATACTTTTTTTTCCTGTGTAGTAATAGCCTGTAGTACATGCAGCTGTACTATTTATTAGCAGTAAAATCTGTGATCATAGTTTTGTTTTTTATTTCTTTCAGAAAGAGATGGAAAACTGTGATGCACCGCTCCTCAGTTTAGCCCAAGCCTTCCACTCTCTCTACCAAGAACACCGTGAGAACATCCAAAATCTTAGTCCAGGCTAGATCGCATTCATTTCMCTCACAGGCATTGAGCTTCTATTCAGATTTAATTGACTGTGGCCTATTGAAGCTGAAGTTAGTGTTGATGACGTATGTGAAAACACATTTTTTTTATTGTAATGTATAAGAAGAGCACCTTGTTAAAACTCATTTAATGAGAGCACCAATAGAGGTTTTTTTGGTAATAATCAGCTTCTGACTGTGTTTGTTTTCCCTTTGTTTTCCTGTCTTTGCAGAGATAATAGGATTTGTTTTCACACTGATAATAATTATCCAAAACTACAATGAGACTCCAACTCATTTTGTTGGAAACRGCTTATACTTCACCTCCTCCCTTCTGCTTTACTTCTGTCACTCATCCTTAGCTGTTTTTGATTTTAACCAAGACTACAGTTTCATTTTGTAAATAAAAAAACAAACATATTTACATTAAATAAAAAGGGGAAAAAGTATCTTTGTCACATCTCTCTGCTTAGACGGGCTTGCTTTGGTAGTTTATTTTTTTATTTTTTTAGATAAGCCCTTAATTGCTGTGTCACCTTTCTTTTGTGGCTTAAAATGCTTTTTCCTGGTGCCGTGTATCTAMCTTGCTCCATGCTCGGCGCAGCTCTGACAGCCAGTGATCATCATTCTAATTAGCGCTCTCCAATTCAAAGCAGGTCACAGCCGACTCCTTGTTGTCTCCCTTCCTCTCAGACCAGCTGCCACCACTCAAATGAGGCTATGCTAGTTCCAAGTCAGACACAATGTGCTTTTTTTTAATCACATTACTCGCTGCTTGCAGTGTACCGACTCTGTAATAATGATGACGCAGCCTCTGKTAGAGAAAGCGAAGTCCAACTGACTGTGAACTAGAATTTAGTTTCCTTTTGTGTTTTTAAAATTGATCTAAAATTATATTAATGAAGTGAAAAGTGAGAAATTTTAGTTTTACTTGAACATACTCCTTGATTGCCTTGAGTGTTGGTCAAAATGTGTGTTCATGTATATGTATATATACACTTTTTTCTGTCTGTTTTGAAATAAAGATTTATTCTAAAATCGTACAATAATCATAGTTCTAAAGATTAACATATCAAGACATACTGCATAATTTTGAAAACTCAAAATGTTTTAAAGCCAAACCTAAAACGTGTAGTTACGTTGTAGATTGTATGTAATGTAGGTTTTGTTATTGCCTCATCACAACTCATTAGTTATCCCACCAAAGCAGTTTAATGAAGTTAATATCTGGATTTRAGGTCATTAATATATTGATTTACATTTTGTTAGTCATCCAGTTACAGATATCCTTTAGGGCCTAAGATAAATATTATTTTGTAACTCCTACATTTGAGAATTTTTTATTTTATTTTATTTATTTTGCGAACTGAAGAGTTCATGGTCTGACTTAATGAAAGATGCTCAAGACCTGCAGTTGTAAAAGAAAATAGCCCAAATCATAAACTCTCCTCACTTATGCTTGACAGTTGGTTTTAGGTGTTGGTGTCGAAAAGCTGTGTAAGGTTTTAGCTAAACTTGGCCCTTAGGGCTGTCAATGCAAAAAAAAAAAAAAAAAAATCACGATATCTAATGTAATAGACACGATAAATATCAATAGAAAATATGTCTGATAGAATGTTGATAATTTCACAGAATCGCACGGCACTCTGGGGGATGTACTTCCTTAATTTCTTACTTATTGTGATATATTATTCAGCCATATTGTCCAGGCCTATACTGTTTATTATGATGAACAACTTTGTCTAAAGATTATTGTTCCAGGACTGTGATGTTACTTTACAGGCCTGTGTCATGCAATAGTGATAGTACCTGTTAACTTAAGTCTATGCAGTCTGTCATGTAGACCTTCAGTTTCTCTGCTCAGAAGAAGTTCTGACCTTGTGTTGGACTTGCTGAGACATGTGTTCTTGAGAAGGTTGGAGCTGCAAAGGACTATGTTATAAATAATATGAAAAACTGATCATTACTGTTTGTGAAGAGACATGACAGGTCTGGTAAATTCCTCTGTGAAATTAAACATAACACGTAATGAGGCTATTATAAAACCAGCATCTATCAACTTGTAATTGGTGTTTTTTTTTACATTTTGAGTTTTTGTAATTATAGTAATTAAGCTCTTTATCTTTGTTCAYTTTCACTCATTATCTTCACTATTTTTGTGAGCATTTGAGGATATGAAATTGTTTGATGTAGGCCGCTGTTTTTTTAAATATTATTTTTTATGTCCTTCAAAAAAAAGATTGATAGCTTACTGTAGCTACAAGTTTATTAAACATAAATTGCTTTATGTATATCCAAAATTATGCACATATATACACTTTAACAACTGTAATGGAACTAATACTTTTATGTATGACATCCTTTAATGACCTAGGTTTTCATGACATGCTGTTCATCTGCAGATAGAATGATTAAAGTCAGAACAAGGTCTGCTAACAACAGTCATTCTTAGATATCACTTGTGTTTATCTTTGTGTTTTCCATTGACCTTGTATCAAATCTTGCTAAGATGACTTAATGGTGTTTGTTAATATATATATGAGGCCTCTCAGCTGCATCAACAGTGTTCAACAGTAGTGAGTAGTGTGGAGAGACAGTGACAGAGAGAAGCAGAGGCACAGAGACAGGCCAGGTTGTTCTCTGTGTTTCCTGTTGTTGCAATAAAACTCAGCTGATCATCCCACGGAGTACCTTCATTCTTGGACCACRTATTTCTRTCTTTRTTAAATWAATATTGCCASCACACAACCATGTTTGATATTGCTGAGTTTGTAACAGAAAGTACAAACTTTTTTTTTGRATGAGGACACCTGCATAAAGGTTTTCAAAATGTCTCAAAAATATTTAAGCCAAAAACTGACCCTAAAGGGAAGGATGTGCAGGCTCGTACAAGCAAAAAATCCATTAAAGTTCCACAAAATTTCTATCAGGTAATCTAATTTTTAGTACTTCAACTTTGTTATACAGTGCTGTATCAAATTTAAACTGAGCTTTGTATCTTGGGAATACAACTTAATCATTTCACAAGACAGAGTGTGGGCTTGTGCTTATTGCTTTGGGAGAAACATTTTCATTATAATATATTGAAACACTTGGTTAGAAAAAAAAGACATGCCACTGTTCAGTCATTAGTTTTGAACTAAAAATACTATTTTCTTTCCTCAAAAATCAGTATTCAAAACAGGTTTCCCTAGTTAACAAGGGAACTGCAAAAAAATGTTTTTAGGGAACAGAATATTTTCAGCTGCAGTGCTTCAAAGTTTTAAGGTTTGCAGATAATATCACAGCTCTACTTGCAGATGATTTYAGACAAGGAATTAATTACTGTGATGTTTCTGTGTTATATTAATAACAATGCTTTGTTTAAGCATTCATGATCAGTGGTGGGTCACACAACCAGGGTGAGTGAAGAACAGAGGAYCAAAGAGCAGAGGCTGGCAGCTGTCACTGAAACCAACTCGAATACTAAATCAAACAAAAAGGGCTGCGAAAGCAGGGTGAGCAAAGTGGAAAACTAATTAAAACTCAGACAAAAAGAAACTACGGCAAAACAAGAAGGATCACAGAGTAGGGAAGTGAAGCAACGATAACACAAGGCCCTGCCAAAGAGCAGCTAAAACCTTAGAAATACAAATCCTGATGAAAGTGCAGGTAAATACAGGGCAGATTTAGAGAAACAGAATGTAAACGATACGAAAACACAATGGCAATCACAAAGTAAAACAAGATAAAACTGTGGAAGCAACCAAATGACACAAAAACTCATATGGAATACAACACATGGTCACAGAAGGTAAGATCAAAGAAATAATTAACCATTTCAGATGAAGTAAACCACATTTTCTTCCATTACCATCTTTTTTTGGATTATTGTTTAACTTGGGAACTATTATAAGACTACTAATGCAATGGTGTGACTCAGATTAATCATTATAATACATGTCACCATTGTGAAAATGTATTGCTTAATAATGTCATAACTTATGTTATTGAGGTTTGACTTAAAGGGTTTTACACAAAATAAATGCAAAAAGCTGAATTTAAAATAAATTATAATGCACAAAACAAAATGATGAAATGGATAGAAAGATATCCATCATCCATCCATCCATCCATCCATCCATCCATCCATCCATCCATCCATCCATCCATCCATCCATCCATCCATCCATCCATCCATCCATCCATCNATCCATCCATCCATCCATCCATCCATCCATCCATCCATCCATCCATCCATCCATCCATCCATCCATCCATCCATCCATCCATCCATCCGAAAGAAAAATAGTGTTCAGTGTGTTCGTTACCAGAATGTGTGCTTAACCATATGAAGAATGTGCAAATGCATGGAAAGGATTATAAAGAGAAACCCATACAAAACCAAGAGCGTTCTTGCTGATATCTGGTTTAATTTGAGCCACCAAAAGATCAGACCAGAAATGAGGAAGTTCAGTTTTAACAAAAGCTCCAGGGCATGGCTCCACCTGTTTGATTACATCATCAACAAGGGGAGTCCCTATTGTTCTGTAGAAACCATGCCCTCAGACATTCAAAACCTACTCTAATGAAGATTTAAAAGTTCAGTAATGTGTTGGATTTGTTTCCTGGCATGTATCTATTAATATAGAATCATCAAGTTAAGCAAAACAGTCACATTTAACAGTTATTACAGTTCTATCATAAAAATATACCGTGTGCAGTGTAATTTAAAATCAGTATGTAACCTAAACCCCAATAATTTCTTCACATCCATCCATTATATCAGCAAATGTTGCTCAAATGGCCTGAACACATATAGCGCTTTATCAACTCCAAGGATTACAAAGCATTTCACACTTCATCATTCACTCATTCACACACTGATGGTGGTAAGCTACATTGTAGCCACAGCTTCCCTGGGGAACACTGACAGAGGCGAGGCTGACTTACACTGGCACCACTGGAACCTCTGACCACCACCAACAGACAAGACTGGTGAAGTGCCTTGCCCAATGGTGTGTTCTGCCCAAGGTTAAAGGATGACAGCCCTAGTGACTCTGCCACCCTGTAAACTCAAATTTGATGGCAGCTAGAAGATCAATATTTGAATTAGGTGGACATTCTTTCATCTCTCCAAAGATGGATGGAAACTTTTGGGTAAACCTACAGCGACTGCAAATGATTCAAAAACTGTTTTAGTATTAATAATGCAGTCTTTGACATAATTAACCTTAATCTTGCCCTCTTTCTTGTTTTGTGTCTGTTTATTGATGTGCATGTAACCAGCATGGTTTGTTCCAGAGCCCCAAACAGTCTATGACCTAAAAAAAAGGCATGCTAATTGCAGGTGTGGAAAAACACAACAGCTGTTCCCCCAATTTTGCTGCCTGACTGTCTGAACAGMAGCGAGCAATAATTAGCTGTAATGCCTCTAATCTTGTCAGCAGAACAGCAAAAATAGTTTATTGTATCTGTCATTTGGGAAATGTTGTGGTTTATGTAAAAAAAAGTACAAAAACAAGACTTGGAAAACAACATTTTCTTGCTTACAGCTTGCTTTTTACAAACTGTGAACATTGGTGGCACAGTGGAGCAATGATTAAAGCTGTTGTCTCTCAGTGAGAAGGTTGCAGGATCTCCTCCAGGCCTGGGACTTTTCTGGTTGGAGTTTGTGCATTTTTCCTGTGCACGCAGGTTTTCTCCAGGTACTCCAGTTTCCTCCTACAGATGAAAAACATGCATGATAGGTCAACTGGTAACTCTAAAYTGTCCSTAGGTGTGTGTTGAGGCTGTGAATTGTTATTTGTCTTTATGTGACCCTGTGATGGACCTACAACATGTCCAGTGTGTGCCCTGCATCTTACACAGGGTAGACACTTGGAAAAGAAAAGCAGGAAATAAAATAGATGGAAATTTGTAGCATTCATWTTAAAGGGGACATGTCATGCATATCAGCCATTAKTTTAGCCATTAAATSTATTTTGTTACCTGGAGTTTCTAGGAGTGCAAACAAGTTGAATTTTTTCTCTCCCATTGCTCCAAATATATCTTTATATTCTGTTTAAGATATATTATTTTCAGTCTGTTCATTTTGTGTTCATCAGGGTTCCCCTTTACATTCTGAGTTCTTGTTTGTTAATTGGTTCTGCATTMAGTACCGTTTGTACCAGTCTTGGTTCTCTCTATGTTTTGGCTGCCACATCAGCAATTTATTTTTGATTTTGCTTCTGATATTTGATTTCTTGGGTTCCTCGTGTGGTCAATCTGCAACTTTCAAAAACAACCTTAAAACCACGACACAGCACAGTTTGATTGGAGTATCAAACATTTGTCTGTCTTTGTCAATAGTCTGTTACAATARACCTTTAAACTATTTTACTGTCAATACTCAGGTAATGTATGATAATTGTACAGAGGTGTGATGAAGTAATTAGTTACATTTACAACGACAACGTCCCTCTAGTTATCTCCCAGGAAAAACCCACAAGAATTCTTTCCCAAAATTCTCAAGGCCTGACCACAAAGTTCCAACAACTTCCACACAGTTGTCCCATGTATTTAAAGGAAAACAAATAATACTTCAAAGCTTCAAAATCTCTTTATTTAATAAAACCGTCTATATAGGAAATGATTTAGTTATGTTTTCATAGTGATCTCAATGTCAAATTGATTATTAGAATTTAATATTGTTGCATTTTATTACTACCATTTTGCCTCAGGAGACTTGTTACTTGGAGGCAGAAATATCCTCTTGACTCTTTGCCAAGGTCACCATGTTTGATATGACAAGATTTGAGTACCTCCAGGACAGATGGAGGCAGTATAGCACTGCTTCACTCTGCCTGATCAACCACTCTGGTCCTCTTCACCCCCCGCCCCCCACACCTCTCCTCAGTGATCACAGCAGTGCTGCAAAGAGGCATGCCAGCCACTCTGATCATCACACCAGGGGAGGACAGATAGCGGGAGGGACAGAAAGTCACAGCCAGCACATACAGACTTGTGTCTGGGGTGCTGAAACTGATGTTAAAAGAC